CTGTCTTCCTCGTCACCAGGAGTGGAGACGCCTCATGGGTGCGAGGCACCGGGAGGTCCACTGACCGCCTCTGAGCGTGTCCTCGGTTTCCTTGTTGGTGGCTGTGGCCTGGGAAGAGTGATGTTTTTAGATTAAAGGAGACAGTGGTGTGGACAAGGCCTCCTGGGAATAAGGCGGACCCACTTGTCAGGCCTTCTAGATGTGCTGTCCCAAAGAGTGTCCCGCAGTGAGGGATTGTCCCATGCCTGTGGCACCCAGCAGTCACCCCAGACACACTTGACAACCGAGCTCTAGGGATGGGTCCAGCACACGCAGGAGACACACTGTGGACTTTATCAGTTGTGTTCAGTTATGCATGACGGCAGAGCCCATTCTGACCTGGGGATAGAGGCACAGACCAGACCTTGTTCCAGGTGAGTCCCCAGTACCTCTCCTTCCCCTCCCTCCCTCTGCTGACCCTCTGCCACTCACCCACAGTTATTCTTAACTAATTCCTTGTGGATGTACCTGATGGTGAGGCTCACTGTGCTGTGTTCACATAGGGACCTAGGAAAGTTAGGCGGATCCTTTCCACTGTCTTTCCAATTCCCATTCCCCCTCCCTTCCCCCTTCCCCTTGGTCTAATCCAATGAACTTCTCTCTCCTACCCCCTTATTGTGTGTGCGCATCTGCCTGTCAGGAAAGACATTTGGTCTTTTGTTTGGGGGATTGACTTATTTTACTTAGCATCGTATTCTCCAGATCCATCCATTGACCAGCAAAAGTAATAAAGTCGTTCTTTTTATGGCGGAGGGATATTCCACTGTGTATATGTATCACATGTTCTTTGTCCATCCACCTGTTGAAGGACACATAGGTGGGTTCCACAGCTTGGCTATTGTGAACTGAGCTGCTATAAACATTGATATGGTTGTGTCCCTGTCGTGTGCTGATTTTAAGTCCTTTGGATATAAACTTAGGAGTGGTATAACTGGGTCAATACGTGCTTCCATTCCAAATTTTCTGAGAAATCTACATACTGCTTTCCAAAGAGGTTGGACAATTTGCAGTCCCACTAGCAATATATGGGTGTGCCTTCTCCCCAATTCTCACCAACCTGTGTGGTTAGTTGTATTCTTGATAGTTACCATTCTGACTGGAGTGAGTTGGAAGCTCAGCATGGTTTTTGTTTTGTTCTAGAATTCAGTGTAGTTTTAATTTGCATTTTTCTAACAGCTAGAGAGGTTGAACATTTTTTCATATATTTGTTGGTTGTTGGTATTTCTTCTTCTGTGAAGTGTCTGCTTAGTCCTTTGCTCATTTTTTGATTGGGTTATTTGGGGTTTTTGGAGTTAAGCTTTTGAGTTCTTTGTATATCTGGATATCAATACCCTGAGAGGCAGGTGGCAAAGACTTCGGCCATTCTGTGGGATCTCTCTTCACGCTCTTGATTTTTCTCCTTTGCTGTGAAGAAGCATTTTAGTTTGATGCCATCCCGTAAATTGAATTTTGATTTTACTTTCTGAGTCTTGTTCAGGAGGCCAGCTAGAGAGTTGGGCCTACATTTTCTTCTGGTAGGTTCAGGTTTCTGGTCTAATATTCAGGTCTTTGGTCCACTTTGAGATGAGTTTTGTGCAGGGTGAGAGATAGGGGTTAGATTTGCTCTTGTACCTGTGGATGTCTGCTTTTCCCAGCACCTTGTGGAAGAGGCTATCTTTGCGATGATGCATTTTCTTGGCACTTTTGTCAAGTTTGAGCAACTGTATTTATGTGGGATTGTCTCTGTGATTTCTGTTGGTCTTCATATCTGTCTTCGTATCTGTTTTGGCACCAGTACCATGCCGTCTTGGCTACTGTAGCTCTCTAGTATGATTTAAGGTCTGGTATTGTGATTCCTCCTGCTTCTCTTTTCTTGCTAAGGATTTCTTTGGCTATTAAGGACCTCTTACTTTTCCATATGAATTTAGTGACCACTTTCTCTATTTCTATGAAGAATTGCCACCTGCCTCTCAGGGTATTGATATCCAGGATATACAAAGAACTCAAAAAGCTTAACACCAAAAGAACAAAATTGGAATTTTGATGGGAATTGCATTGGATCTGTATAGCACTTTGGTGGAGTCAACCAAGAATGCATTTCTATAACAGTGATTCTGCCTATCCAAGAACGTGGGAGGTCTTTCCACTTTCTAAGGTCTTCAGTTCCTAATTTTAGTATTCTATAGTGTTAGTATTCTATAGTTTTCATTGTAAAGGTCTTTTACCTCTTTTGTTGGATTATTCCCAAGGTTTTAATTTTTTTTCTTTGAGGCTATTGTGAAATTGTGAATGCAATGATTTTTCTAATTTCTTTTTCAGCAGATTAATCATTAGAGTGTAATAATGCAATTGTTTATGGGTGTTGATTTTGTATTTTGCTACTTTGATGAATTCATGTATTCTGGAAGTGTTCTGATGGAGTTTTATGGGTCTTCTAAGTGTAAGATCATGTCATTGACAATCAGTGATGGTTTGAGCTCTAATGTTTCTATCCATAACACTTTAATTTCCTTCTCTTGCCTAAAGGATCTGACTAGGATTTCAAGGGCTTTGTTGAACAGGAGGGATAGATGTGGCAGTCCTGTTCTGTTCTTGTTTTCAGAGGGAACGTTTTCAGTTTTTCTCCATTCAGGATGATGTTGGCCTTAGGATTATCATATATAGCCTTTAAAATGTTGAGGTATGTCCCATCTATCCCTAATTTGTCTACAGTTTTAAATTGTTCTGTGAGGTAGAAGATGATGCAAGGAGTGAAATCAGAGAGAAAATTCAAGAAGTAAAAGATCTCTTCAATAAGGAGATAAGGATTCTGAAAAGGAACCAATCAGAGATACTCAAAATGAGGAATCAATAAACCAAGTTAAAAATTCAATGGAAAGCATCACTAATAGACAAAACACTTGGATGATAGATTTTCAGATCTTGAAAACAAAGCATATAATCTTAAAAATAAAGGTGACCATAGAGAAAAGATGTTAAGAGACCAGGAACCACGAGCAGAATATTCAAGAAATACGGGATAACATTAAAAGGCCAAATATAAGGTTCATTGGGATAGTTAAAGAAATACAAACTAAAAAATGCATAATCTTTCTAATGAAATAATATCAGAAAATTTCCCAAACCTTAGAGATGAAATGGAAATTCAAATACAGGAGGCATGAAGGACTCCAAATATACAAAATTATAACAGATCTACACCTAGGCACAGTATTATGAAAATCCTAACACAGAGAATGAGGAGAGAATTTTAAAGGATGCTAGAGAAAAATGACTGACCACATTTAAAGGGAAATGAATCTGGATCTCAACTGATTTCTCAACACAGACCCTAAAACCAGGAGGCCTTGGAAAATATATACCAAGCTCTGAAAGAAAATTTATGCCAACCAAGAATACAATACCCAGAAAAATTAAGCTTCAAGAAGGTAAAATGAAAACCTTCACGATAATCAAAAGTTTAAAGAATTCACAGCTAGAAATCCTACACTACAAAACATACTCAGTAAAATATTTCATGAAGAATAAATGAAAAATTAAAATGAAAACTAGCAGAGGGAGGAATTACACTAGAAGAATATTCAGTCAAAGGAGAAACTAATTCAAATTAAGATTCAGAAATAACTCAGACTGACAGGTAATAAAAATCATATCTCAATAATAACATTGAATGTGAATGGTCTAAACTCTTCAATCAAAAGACACAGACTGGCAGATTGGATAAAAAAAACAAGATCCAGCAATATGCTGTCTCCAAGAAACTTACCTCATAGGCAAAGACATCCACAGACTGAAGATGAAAGGATGGGAAAAACATCATTCACGTGGATCTCAAAAACAAGCAGGGTTACTATTCTCATATCAGATACATTTAATTTTAGTGTTAATGGAACATGGTGCTGGAGGCCACGTGTTATCAGTGGCCCCCACTGCCGTCTAGGATGTCAGTGTGGTTTGACTAAACACACTTGCATTTGGCTTTGCTTCCTGAAATAAGTATGATTCCTGATGTCAGCACTCTTGTCGTTGCTGACTCCTGCTCTGACTCACCACACAGAGCTTACTGCACAGGAATCAAAGGAAAAGCCAGTCCCGGTCAGCGTACCTCACTGCAAGTTCACACCCCTGGCTCCTGGTTTTGTAGGGGAAGGATTCATAATCTAAGTTTGTGTCCCAGTGGTTATTGTAGAAACTGGCATTAAAACCAGAACCACTAGTCGTTCGAAACCAAAATAAACATAAACACCAGTTTCAGCAAAAAACAAGTAAAAGAGAATGAAAGAGCAAGCCACGTTGCTTCATTTCCATTAGAGCTGCATGATTTTCTTTTAAATAAAGAAAACTACTGAACTTTAAAAATCCATTTTAAGTTTTTACTATAGAAAATTTAAACTTACTGC